TCAGGGTGACTGAGCGGTGGCTGGTCTAGGAGCACATAGGGTCCCTGGGTGGGACGGCCCGTTGGGTTATAAGCTCAGGTCAGGTCTCCAAGTGGAAGGTGCGGTTGGGTGGAACTGCCAGCCATGCCACTCACCTGTGAAGGAGCGATTAGCCGTTGAGAGAACAGTTTATAACCCCGTTCATCCTTGTTTCCTCTTTTTGCAGCCCAAGGAGCTGGACCCCTCTGCTGTGCTCCCTTTGGATTGTCTTCTCGCGTTCGTCTTCTTTGATGCCAACTGGTGTGGCTACTTGCACCGTCGAGACTTGGAGAGGATCCTGCTTACCCTCGGGCTCCGGCTCAGTGCAGAGCAGGTGCCTTCCCTCGCCCCCCTTGGTCCTTTCTGAGGTGGCCTCACCTGACGTAACGTGCACAGGCACGCACCTACACTGGGGGGGATGACGACTTGGGATGCTCCACTTCTAGGCTTTTTCACATCCCGGGGGCAAGGTTTGCACCTTCTGACCAGGGGATCTTGGGTGTGTTTTCTGTAGGCTAAACAGCTGGTCAGCAGGGTGGTGACCCAGAACATCTGCCAGTACCGCAGCCTGCAGTACAGCCGCTCCGAGGGCACGGACAGTGGGCTTCCTGAGGAGGTGCTCTTCGGTGTGTACGGTGCTCTGCAGCCTCCTGTGGAGAATGGGCAGGGCAGGCTGCTTTCTCCTCCCACGACCCGGCCCTTACCTCCTCTCATGGCCCTGCTAGGAAACCTGGACCTGCTACCTCCTGGGAAAAGCGCAAAGCCAGTGGCCGCCCCTCTGGATCACAAGGGCCTGGTGTCCCACAACGGCAGCCTGATCCACGTGGGGAACCTGCTGCAGCGTGCGGAGCAGCAGGACAGCGGGCGGCTCTACCTGGAGAACAAGATTCACACACTGGAACTGAAGCTGGGTGAGTGGCGCGCCCCCGGGGCCTGCCCGTGGCTGTGCGATGGGTACACGGCGACCAAGGGGACCCCGCTGCATAGGCTGCAGGCCCCTTGCTCCGATCCTTAACTCAGCCCGTCTTCCCGGTGTGTTTCCCACCAGAGGAGAGCCATCACCGTTTCTCAGCCACGGAAGTGACAAACAAGACGCTGGCAGCTGACATGCAGGAGCTGCGCACCCGGCTGGCGGAGGCCGAGGACACGGCCCGCACGGCTGAGCGGCAGAAGAACCAGCTCCAGCGGCTGCTGCACGACTTCCGGAGGCGCCTGACTCCCCTGCAGCTGGAGATGCAGCGAATGGTTGAGAAGGTGAGCCTGCAGGAAAGCTGGCTTAGTTGGGTGATGCCAGGGCAGCTTAGTTGGAAGATGCCAGGGTGACAGCCCCTTGCGTCTGTGCCTGGGTCCACCTCGCCATCGCCTCCTCCATCCACCAGCTTCTTAGGGGATCTGTCAGTCAGCAGCTTGTGAACTTGAGTCCCAGGAGGAAGTGGGTAGTAGTCCTTTCTCCTTGGGTCCTAATTCTCGTGCCATCTGTTGCAAACAGGCTGACAGCTGGGTAGAGAAGGAGGAGCCAGCACCTAGCAACTGAGGGCTTGACGCAGGAGCTGCCATCCTGCGAGGTCAGCGATGGAGCCTGCTCACGTTAGAGCCTGTGGTTCCAGAGAGGAGCTGAGCAGGACCTGGGAGCACAGCCTGTGGAGGGAGCTCAGGCCGGCAGGGTGGGTCTGCCTGTGCTATGTGGACGGACGAGCGAGGAACCGGTTCCACTTACAACTCAATCCAACACCTGCACCCCTCGCCCCTCCAATGTCATTTTGCCTTCCACCTTGGGGTTTCTCCTGGGGCCCTTTAGTCTCGTGCTTTCTCCTGTTCTCTTCCAGTTTAGAGTAAGACAGGGGAGAAAAAGGCTCTGTGACTATGTCATAAGGTCTGATGCCAATAAGCGAAGAAACGTGGAATCTGGCTGGGGTAAGCGCCCCTTCCTCTGGATGGCACAAATCCTGCTAGGTTACCAGGCCCAGGTCCCGGGCCTGTGAGGAATGGAGTCAGTGCCAGCCAGCTCGCTGTTGGGCTGTGGGCCAGTGAGCACTTTTCCAGCCTCCCCGGACTTGCCAGCAGGAACCAGCACTTCTGCCCCCCGGCGCCCTGTGTTCAGAATGTGGTATTGGCTCTGGCCCAGCCTTTTTCCTGTTCCCCACGAGTCTCACCTCTTTCCATAATCCGTGGTTTTAGTTTGACTTTGTATATAAAGTTGGTTTTGTTTTTTTGTTTTTTTTGCTTTTGTTTTTTAAATAAACCAAAGTGAAAAAACCCCAAGTGTCCTCCATAGCTTTTCCCTTTCTCTTCCCCTCCGGGCCCTCAGCCCCGCCTCTGCTGTAGTTGCCTCCAGAAGGCGGGTGGGTGGGCAGCAGGGAGAGCAAGCCCCCTGCTCTCAGGCTGCTGGCTGGTCGGGAGCCAGGATGCTGCCTGGGCATTACCAGCTCCGCAAGGGGTAGCATTACCCTGAAAAAAACCTGGGGTGGCTCTCTCCTCCTTTCCTTAGTTGCAGCACAGTACAAGAACATTTTATTGAAAACTTTACTGGAAAAAAAATTCCTAATATTCAGGTGAGATACAAACCCACTGTTGTTGCTTTGAGGCCTGTGGGTTGGACATTTGCACGAGTTGAATCCATTTCCTAGAGAACCTGCGAGGCCGATCTTCCCTGCACTCGACCAAAAGGACAAAAGCCAGCCTTTGTGGTGCTGGGAGCTGGAGTGAGGGGCCTGCCGAGGCTGGGGGACCACAGCACTCGTTCTCAGACAGTGCTGTGGCCCTCTCCCGGAAAAGGAGAGAAGTGGGCGGGCAGCAGGGGGAGGGGGGTCCCGGACGGTCATTTGGAGGTAGATGTGATCCCAGCCATGCACACAAGGTGAGACCGCCGGTGAGCTGACGGAGCCCCTGCCCGCTGCGGGCGGGCGGCCTGCGCTGGCCCTGGGCCAGGAGGCACTTTGGATGGTTCTGGAAATAAAGCCTCAGGTTTTTACAGGCTGCTCACCTTCTGCAGGCTCCCGCTATGGCAGGGCAGTCAGCAGCCTGCTTGGGGCTCCAGGTGCCAGGCTCATTCCAAAGGGTGGTGAGGTAGGGTAGGGGCCTTCTCCCAGGGCTGGCCTGTCGCTGGCTGCTGCCTGAGCCCAAGCTTGAGAAGGGCAAAGACTAGAGAAGCCGACTTAGGTTCCAGGGGCGCTCCGAGGGGCGGGGCTCAGTCATCAGCCACAATAGAGAGCGCTCTGAGCTCGTTCAGTTTAGCTTCATTCTCCCGCTCCCGCTGCTCATCGGAGTGGCCAGGCTGGTCAAGCTGCTGGGTCAGGTCTCCGAAGATCTTATGCATTTCAGAGTAGTAGACGACCTGGGTGGGAGGCAGGAGGTCAGCAGAGGCTGGACTCCGGGCACCAGCCCCCACAGCATATACCCTCTGGGCTGGTTCCTGTTCCCTCGACTCCAGCCTTTCCCCTCAGCACATCTCTCAACTGCACAGCAACCAGGGAGGTGTGAGCCCTGCCGGAAGCCCTGTAGGACCGTCCACTGCCTGGGGTGGCAATCCGTCAAAGGCGAGGGGAGCAATAGATCCTCGGGGAGGTGGGAGGTGGAGATGGGGGGCGGGGGAGGAAGCTCTGCCCTTCTCTCCGAGCAGCACGGGGGGTGTTTTGGGTGGTGGAGGAAGACAGCACAGTCCAAGGCTGAGGCTGGGGAGAGTTGGAGGGCCCTTGGCAGGTCCTGGGAGACAGGGAGTCAGGTCTGTGACGAGGGGCTCACTGCTCTACAGAAGCTGGGAGCTGGAGGCTTTTGTTCCTGGAGAGGCATGGCAGGCTCCCAAAGCCTGAGAACTGGTCTTTGGAAGGTGAGAATGGTGACTCCTTAGCCTTCTGTTCCTTCCCAACTCAGCTCATTGGTCAGCATGCTAAGGTGCTCGGCCCAAGTCGGGCCGTGTCCACACTTCCTTCTAAGTAGGCCCAGTGTGGGATGGGAAGCTCACAGGAATGAGGCGGGAATGTGAGTGGGACCCACCAGCAACTCAAATGGCTGAGGGCTGCCGAGACCCAGGGCGAAGCCGGCCCAGCATGGGCTTTCCCAGGGCAGGGGGCAGGAGCCATTTTCCCTTAGTCTCCGCCTCGTGACAAATGCAAGCGTTCCCACGAATGCATTCCACACCATTCAACACCCTTCCATTCTGTCCAGTGCCAGCTCCACGCTGTCTTTGGGGAAGAAGCCACTGCGTCAGAAATGTGTAGTGCTGCTGCTGGCACGGTCAGGCTGAGTGGCAGGTTGGGGGCAGGGCCCTGGCCGAGCTGCTTCTGAGAGCCTCCCACAGCCAGCTCTGAGGGGAGCGGAATCAGGCCCTCACCCCGCTGTCACCTCAGGGGAGAGGCCTGGGCTGGTGCAGGGAGCATGGGGGTGCCCCTCCCCCAGAGCAGCGCTGTGTGGCTGAGTCACCGGGAATGCTCACTTCTCCAGTGACTAATGGCAGTGCAGCCTCGGGAGGGGAAGCTGGTGCCAAGCAGGCAGCAACGCCCCTGCCACCCGCTGCCTGGTGACAGGGCATCCTGAGCTCCCGAGCTGCTCCATCTGGGCACGCCACAGCCTCACCCCGGAGCGTCCTCCCCGAGCAATGGGCGGGGGAGGCAGGGCAGGCGCTGGGGCTGGAACAGGTGGTGATGGCGCAGGAGGGAGGGCAGGCAGGAGGGAAGACTCAGGGCTCCTTAAGTGCATTCCTCCAGGCCCAGGTCGAAGCTGCTGGAAGGAAGCCCTCACTCACTGAGGAGTGCTCTGGGGCAACTGTGGGGGCCCCCACTCCCTTTGTTTGCTAGCCTTCTGCCTCATTTCCCCCTAACGACCAAGGATGGCAGGGAACTGAGCTGGGAGTCAGGCTTTTCCTGGGGCACCTGTGATCATGGACTTTGCAAGAAATGACAGTGTCCACTGGAGGGCGCCAAATACCCAGGCCAAGAGCAGAAGTGAGCTGGCGGCAGATGGGGAGGGCTGAGCCTCCCGCTTTG